TTTTTTCCATCTGTTACATTTATGCCCATGAAGGTCCCTCCAGGCCGTTTATGGCTCAATGCAGACGAGTCTGAGGATCCGTATCCGCTGTTTACCACCACGGCTATTCCCCCAAAGGCGCCAGGGGCCGTCCGGATTTGGGTCGACGGCTGCTTTGATCTTCTGCATTTCGGCCACGCGAACGTCCTTCGGCAGGCTTCCCTCCTAGGGACGGAGCTCTTCGTCGGCTCCCACTCCGATGAGGAGGTGATTCAGCATAAAGGGCCACCGATTATGCACGAGGACGAGCGCTATGAATCCCTCCGCGCCTGTAAGTGGGTGAATTACGTCATCGAGAACTGCCCGTACTGCACACGACTGAAAGACATCGAGCGGTTTAAGATCGACTACGTCGTCCACGGTGATGATATCTCGGTGGGGTTGGACGGGCGAAATTCATACCAAGAGATCATAGACGCCGGGAAGTTCAAGGTCGTCAAACGGACGGAGGGGATTTCCACAACGGATCTTGTAGGCCGCATGTTGCTATGCACCAAGGCACATATGTTAAATTCCCTGGACGATGTGGATGTCGAAAGCGCGAACCCCGAGGCAATTCGTACCTTTCATTACCTTACAACTTCGCGTAAAATTGTTCAGTTTAGCAATAATAGAGTGCCTAATAAGGACGATAAAATCATTTACATCGACGGTAGTTTTGATTTATTTCATGTAGGCCATATCAGAGTTTTGAAAAAGGCCCGAGCGCTTGGGAATTACCTAATTGCGGGGATCTATGAAGACAAGGAGTGCAATCGGTTTAAAAACCATAACTACCCTATCATGAACCTCAATGAGCGTGTACTAGGGGTTTTATCTTGTCGGTATGTCGATGAGGTCGTAATGGGGGTTCCTATTGATATTACGGAAGATATTATTAAAAGCCTTCGGATAGATATTGTGGTGAGTGGTAAGCACTCCGTTGAGAATGATTTTAGCTTATCTGGTATTGAATCTTCTTATGCGCTTCCCAAAATGCTCGGGATTTACCGTGAGGTGGATTCTGAGTGCACCTTATCGACGGAAGAGCTGATTGAACGGATTGTTAAAAATCGTATGGATTTTATTAAACGACAACGTAAAAAAAAAATTGACAACAAAAAGAATGATGAGCAAAAGCCGATCGAATACACGAACGTTGAAGAGCTGTGCTAGGACTGACATTAAGCTCTAGGTACATAGCGCATTGTCAAATTTATTTCTTGAAATTTGCCATGGAAAGGCATTCCCATTCATGTTGGTTATATTAGCAATGTAATAATGGATAATGTTCAACACCAATATAACTTTTTTGAATTTAATCTCTTTTTCACCAAACTTCATACCAGTTGTCTTGGAAAGGTTTATGAAGGGATATTGTTTGTACTATCTGGACTCAATAAAAATGCAGTGTTTTATGAGATCTGAACATTAATAATTATTATGAAATATAAAGAAGCATGATATGTCATGACTATCTATCCTTACCATAGCATTGAAATTTACGATTCAAAAGACTTATGATCTTTCTTTTATTTTTCTCTATTATATTTTCCCGATTTACAAATGGCATTATTTAAGTGAGTGAAAGGAATCTGATTGGTTTACAGGATCTCATTTTCGACCCCTATAACAGATATTTTAGTTATTTTGTTCTCTCGTTTTATTGCAAGTTTAAAATTGATAGGCATTCTCAAGGTTATCATTATCATCCGAATATTTATATCTAGCATTTATGTCGTCTCCGTGTGTGTATCTTCCTTACGCGCAGCCTCCTCTTCCACTAGCTCGTATTTCACGAGCCCGCGCGTTGGTTTCGCGGGAGCTTTCGCAGGATCCAACCGCCCAAAATGTGTTACGAGAG